GTGACAGTGCCCAGTGCCCAGAGCTGGGTGGGATGGAGGTGGGATGGAGGTGGCTTGGCCCTGCTGCTGCTCCCGAGCCCCGTTCCCAGGGTATCTCTGGATGTCCTTGTTCCCCCGGCAGCCACCCTGGGGTGGCTCCAGGCTGGGTCTGGCCGCTGCTCCAGCTCGACACGGGCTTATTTGTGTTGGGAAGGAGCCCAGCCCGTGCAAAAGGGAGCAGAGGAACATCTTGGGCATCTCCCAACCACCCCCAGCCTGTGGTGCCCCAGACCATGGCTCTGCTGGGACAGGTCTCTCTGCTCCTTCTGCCCTGCCACAGCCACCCTGGGCGTCCCTAAGGAGCTTCCCTGCATCAGAAGGAAGGGATTTGGGCCCTGGGTGGCCTTGGGGCTCCCCAGAGCTGCCCCTTGCAGCATCTCACACACCTCAGTGACAGACATTGCACAAGAATTTGTGTCCTTTGTGCCGGTTTTAAAGTGCATTTTAGGGACTGCAAGTAACTGCTGATGCTTCTGCTGGCAGCCTGGCTGCCATCACCAGCTGTGCCCACTGCCCGGGGCTGCCCACACGTCCCCGGGCAGAGACATCCCTGCCAGCCACCCCCAGGCCACCTGTGTCAGGGCAGTGTCCCCAGGGCCAGCCCCACCGAGTCACCAGCTGTCCCCAGCCCTGCCAGTGCCTCTGTCACGACTGGCTGGGGAGCCCCGGGGTGGCAAGGGGAGCTCCATTTGCTCTGTCCCCACGTCCCTCCCAGCTGGCACCTGCATCTGCCTGGCTGTGGGAGCTAATGAAGGATGCAGACAATTACAGGGGGAGACTGATTAAATCTTAAATCAGGGAGGTTTCAAATGGCTTTGACCTTTTCCAGCTGTGGCAGGGGAGGCTGATCAAAGGCTGTTCAAAGATAAACACTAATAAATAAGGGTTGTGATGCAAAAGAGCTGGACGTGTCCTTCTGCCACCTCCTGGTGTGGCACAAGCAGGAGGCCCCAGTGATCCCAAGGCTGGCCTGGCTCCCTCTGCACTGACACCCCCTGCCAAGGCCACCGAGCTGCCAGGGAGGAGCTGGGGCTGGAGCTGCTCCTGCCCGAGCCCTTCTGGGGCTGCAGGTTTGGCCACCACGTGCCCCGTGATGCTGGTTTGAGGGGACATCACTGGGTGGGGAGCACCCAGTGGTGCCTGGTGCATGTGCTGGATCCCAGCAGCGATGGGTGAGGGGTTTATTTTCCAGCGGGCTGCCGTGTGCTGAGCCCTCAGGTGCAGCCTCTGGCTGCTAAATGTGCAGACACAGCTCATCACACTGATGACGGGGCCAGGAGCCGCTGGTTGGCAGGGAGGAACGCACTCAGGGCACCCCAACCCCAGGAGCTGCCTTCATGCCGGGGGTCCCCAAGCAGCCCTGGGGGGGGTTTCGCTGCACCCGGGGGTGACAACGCCCCTTG